GAGGGGTCCCAGACTGTGAGAGGGCACAAGTGGGGCTGAGGGACACCTCCTACCTCCCCTCTCCCGCCAGTGCACAAATTTTTGTGCACCGGGCCGCTAGTCTTAATAATAATTTCTGTGGGTCAGGGATATGGGCATAGCTTAACTGGGTTCCCTGCTTCAGGGTCTCTCCCAGGCTGTAATGAAGGAGATGGCTGGCCAGGGCTGGGATCTGATCTGAAGGCTCCACTGAAGAAAAATCTGCTTCTAAGCCACATGGTTGTTGGCAGGATTCAGTTCCTATTCAGTCCTGCTGGACGGAGGACCTCAGTTCCTAGGTGGCTGTTGGACTGAGGCCACCCTCAATTCTTTGTCTGGTGGGCTTCACTAACATGGTAGCTCATTTCATCAAAGTATACAAGCCAAGAAGATAACAGAGGAGAGTCTACTAGGAAGATGGAAGTCCCAATATTCCATATTCTAGCACATCCCATCACCTTTGCCACATTCTATTAGTTAGAAGCAGTTCACAAGGTCCAGTCCATACCCAAGGAAAGGGGTAATTACACAAGGACATGAATATCAGGAAACAGTGATTATTGGGGGCTATCCTTGAAGTCTGTCAGTCACAACTCTAGTTTAGAAATGAAAGCCAGAAGCAAGTGGGAAGGGGGTGGGGATAAAGGCCACCATTTTTAATTATTTATTATGTGCTATGCATCTCACATGAATTAATTTTCTCATATAGTTCTCACAACAACCCTGTGGCATAGGTGTCATCCCCATTACACAGAGAACACTAAGTTTAGAGGGACTAAATAATTATTTCCTTGTCAAAAGGAAATGGTAGAGCCAAGATTCAAAGTAGATCTGCCAAACTATAGAGCCCATGCTTCTAACTATTCCATCACTGAATTACCTTTTTACCTGTGCAGGTGAATGTCTACTACCTGCCTCCTCTTTTCTGGTCTCATGATCATCCTCTCGAACCCAGACCTCCCACTCTACTGACAATAATGGTCTCTTAGTGTGCCTTCCTGACTCCAGGGCTCTCCCTTCTAATGCTACTATATACACGTTTTTTCTTTAATACTATATTGGTTATTGTTAGAAGGTCTGGGGGAGAACTGGGGAGCTCTGGGACAGTTTGGGGAAGGGTGGCCTCTGAGCAGAATTCTCTACATGGTTGGGGAGTAGACTGATTTGATCCCCAGACACTCCTTTTCTGAGGGGATCACAGCCAACATGGAAACTTGAAGGTTCAGGGCCTTGGTTGGGTGTAACTGAAGATGGGGAGGTAAAACCAACAGTGATGGGACATTTTATTAATGCAGGGGGTGAGAGAAGGAAAAAGCCATGGGGTCAGTCAACTTGGTGGACAGTGAACACACTCACTGGAAAAAGAAGACCTTGGTGGAGGAGGAGGGGAAGAGGAGAGCAGTTTCAAATATGCTGAGTTTGAGGGTCTCTAGGTATTAGATGGTTTTAAGGAACGACTGTTTATTTTACTGGGTGTGAGAATAGAAAATGAAGATACTGCCCTGACCGGTTTGGCTCAGTGGATAGAGCGTCGGCCTGTGGATTCAAGGGTCCCAGGTTCGATTCCCGTCAAGGGCATGTACCTTGGTTGCGGGCACATACCCAGTGGGGAGTGTGCAGGAGGCAGCTGATTGATGTTTCTCTCTCATCGACGTTTCTAACTCTCTATCCCTCTCCCTTCCTCTCTGTGAAAAATCAATAAAATATATTTTTAAAAAAAGAAAATGAAGATACTATAATATATATAGGGTGGGGCAAAAGTAGGTTTACAGTTGTTCATATGGAAAATAATACAATGACAAATAATACAAGAATAAACTGTTTGCCTGGCCAAAGTAAGTCACACAGTTGAACTTAGAGTTAAGGAGAGAGAAAATATCTCCAGTCTCCTTTATGGGAGGAACAAAGTTACATGGAAAAGGGCAGGTGCAAAGCTGAGGCAAGTGGACACAATCTTCTAGCTGGAACAGGCATACCAGAGTTATATCTAGGTTAACCCACAAAAACCACAGTCTTATCACTTCCAGGCTGAAGCTGTTTGGGTTGTTTGGGGAAGAGCCTGCGCCCCAGGTGGGCCAAAGACTCTTTCAGGAGTCATTAGCCAGGGCGTGTGAAGGAGCCAGATTATGGAAGGTCCAGGCTGCTTGGGTTGACCCAAACCCTTGGCAAACCACAGTCACAAGGGCAGAAACTCTGTCTTACAGAAGAAGCTGATCTGGAGAGAAAGGCAGGGATGATCAGACTGTGAGGGCCTGAAGCCTGAAGGGAGAGGGGAAGGGTGAGCTGTAGAGAGACAGAGAGAGAGAGAGGAGAGGAAAGGAGAGGAGAGAGGGAGAGAGAAAGAGAGAGAGAGAGGAGGTGTAGCCAGATGGAGATGGTGAGATTGTTTGACTTACAAATTTTGTGGTGTTTGAGGTCACTGCATGATGTTCAAATAAAAATAAAAATCTACTCATCATTTAGAAATGTGGGACACTGGGAAAACACATTGAGGAGTAAAAGAGGAAAGAGGTAGAGCAATGGATTAGTTCACAGGAAAGAAAAAGAGGAATAAAAGGCTTGGCCTGGATCCTATAAGCAGCTTTATAAGCAGAGTTGTTGGGAAAACTAAAAGTTAGTGTTAAAAGTGCCAGCCCAGGGGGCAGAAATTAAATATGATCTCATTCATTCAAAAAATGACTGTAACAGGTGGGTATTAACAGTCCAGTATAAAGGTGAGAAAATATTCAACACGAGGGAAACTATGTAAGACTTCCGGAGCTGTAGGAGGGCTGTGTGTGGACTTGCACCCTGGAGAGGGCTGGAGTGGCCAGCGAGGAGAGCAACAAGTGGACGCATGTCCCAGACACCCTCTCAGTCCTCATGTGACAGGTGTTATTAGCATCATCTCCACTTTAAAGATGTGAAGACTGAGGCTCAGGACTGAGCATGATGTAAGAGTCCAGGTCAGGGCTGACTGCTGGACACTGACTTGGTTTCTGTTGGAACCTGTTCATCAGACTCAGACGAGGGCTTGCATAATGATTTGGAATGATGCAGGCGGTGAAAAATACAGACCTGGCGGAACATCAGGCCATCCATCATGTTATTCTCACTCAAGGACAACCTTTAAACACGTGGTCTCCATAAATCAAGATACAACATCATTCAGGCTTCTAGTGCTTTTCAAATGTTAATGTCGTCAAACCACCCGGAGATCTCTCTGATTCAAGTAGACGGGAGGTGTTTCTAATGATGCTGAGGGTCCACAGATCCCACGTTGAGCAGCAAGGCCCTAAGGAAGTGGTTCCCAAACCTTTCTGCAGTGGAGTCACCCAGGGAGTTTCTGAAGTGCTGGTGCTGGTTTCCCACCACCAGAAATTGTTATTTAATTGGTCCGAGGTTAGGAGTTTTAAAAGATCTCCATGTGCTTCTAGCCTGCAGCCAGGTTTAGGAAGCACTGTGCTGGGGCTTAGAGGCAGCATGGTGATTGCAGGCAAGGAAATGAATCCATAAAGAGGACAAACTGGTCACGTGGTAAGAGCAGGATAGTTTACATTTTGCAAGGTTAGTGCTTTGAATAGGGTGGTGGCGGATGGGAAACACCTCGCATTTGATCCGTGCCGCACAGTCTGTTGAGAACCAGATGGAGGAGCAGGAGGGACGGAGCCCGCGAGGGACTTTCCGGGCACGCGCGAACCTGGCGCCCGCGGGGGCGG